AGCACATACTGAGGAGCGTTGCAGGCACCTGCCAGGTTGCTACCTGATGAGTACCGCGAGTTCTTGCTGTCCCAATTGCAAAGGCAACTGATCCCAAAGGCATCTCGACTCACAAGCGCAAGCATTATCCTCGTCAAGAAATAGAAGTAACGGAGCTGACAAGGGTCTCCACTCCTGCTCTCCACACACCAATGAACGGATGACAGGTAAATGAAGCAAGCGTCTGTGCTATGATCATATGTAAGGATGTTTGCCTGGTCTAGGAATACAGGATGAAGGAAGTAAACATGGAGAAAAATAAAGGTAATAATATTTATACACCTGTAACTTTGCGGCAATATACCACTGCAGTGTCGTCTCAACATGGCAGGTGTTTATGAAGTGCATATACATGGCATGTGTTTCAAAGACTTCGCTGATAAGCGACATTTCATGGCACGCCACACTTGCCAGCCTGAGTACTGCGTAGTGAAACAAATGTTCAATTAGATTTGCATCTTCATCGCTATGCGACTTGCAAGGTTTTATGCCTGTACTTGCCTAAATCGCTTCTCATTAGGAAACCCAAATATATATATATGTCCTATGGAGGTATGCCCTGAATTGGTGATCGTTTAGGCTTATGCTACCTGCGTTCACTGAACCCATAGTTGCCCGGTGGCGTGGCCCTCAGTATGGGCACTAGCGAGGTATCTGCCAATGGCTCCATAGGCCTGCATGGGCGGTATTCACTTAGCGCAAAAAGGTTGAGCAGCTTTGTATCCACAATCGGAACTGGTAAAACCTTTACTGTTGTCTACTCACTTCTGCATGAGAGGTATTTATGAAGCCCATGTGGAGGTGATAGGTGCATCAATGGTGCAACATCTGAGTCCACGGAGGTGTTATGAATAAGTGCGTTATTTCTACTAAATGCACTGCATTGCGGGGGTATTCCCATGTGAACGGCAATGCAAACGAAAATGCACTGAGCTAAAAGTTTATCTCTGTACGATTCCAAATATACATGCCATCCTGGGGAGCACCTTAAGCGCAGTGTACCCACAACGAGCGAACACTGAGGAGTGGTGTATTTCAACGTGTGTGATACACACAAGCACACAATCAGCAAAAGTGCGATGGGTATTTGCCTCACTGAATCCTGACCTATATTTCCAAGGAAACCACATGGAACGAAAGTCCCTTGGAACAGCGGAATGCGGTTGCGCCAATGAAGCTGTGAGACTGGTTCATGTGAAAAAGTTACATTGAAGCATTGTAAGTAGTAATAATCAACAGTAATGTCAGTCTAACTCCCTTACCTTTGCATGTCGGCTTTTCAAATTGTGGCTGTGTGCACTTCTGCCCACGGCGTTGTTGCAATACATGGAGTTGCTGACAGGCGGAAGATGCTTTTCATATCCCCTGTCACTGACTGTGTAAAGATGGTTGCAGGAGGCTGTGTGGGACTAATACAATAGTATATGCGACAGACAATTGGTCAACCCTAAAAAGTAAATGCAAATGCAGAAAGAAGGCATGGTAACAATTTAACGGATAAATGGCGTAATATGTAGTTGGTCATACAAATTATCTAAGCATGATGCCATTTTGATAAGGACGTCTCAACCATTCACAAATATTAAGACCTTGCGGGCGAAGATTTGAAATCGCTCATGCCCCGCAACTCATGAATACCGAGAAGTGTTTTGTACCTGGTATAAACGAATCATCACAAGCTGGAAGGCAGCTTCGCAGGCGGAACAAAGAACCCTCGCATGAGGCAACAGAGACAGAGGGAGGCGTCGCCACAGCCCTTCTAAAAGGTAAATAACTGCCGGTCAACCTTTTACAGAACCTGGGTGTGAGGACTTGATCATCCTCAATACGCGTTAGTTAAGGGTGAGGAGCACGCGTCAGCACACGTCATCAACAAGCAATAACAAAACATATCACAATTGCCTACCAAAACATGTATCGACACAAACAATGCATATGTACACAACTAGCATAGTACGCTGTCAAAGGGGACTGCCGTGTTGACACGTATTCTCCAGAGTGTGTAAGTTCTTATCACAGGCTATTGCTCCCTGCATGTTTCACTGGTACACAGCGCCGGGTTAGAATTATGCGAACCACGCGCCAAAATCAGTGGTTCCTTACACAGCATGCCTACCCGGATGAGGTGAGTTTGCGTGACTATATTACATAGTTGGGCCAAGAATTTATTGCCTGTCACAATGCACACATGTGGACCGTACCGCGCCTAGGTAGCAAGCACGTGAAGAATAATACCAACGGTCGCAACCCCCACACGTCACCGACTTAACTGGTGTACTCTCGCCAAGGACATCTTACTCCCGGTAGCCCAGGGAGCGCACGTCTTTGCAACTTGCTTAAGAAAAGTTATTCTCCAGATTTTGCCTTGTGGACCGGCATCTGTACACCACCGATGTGGGGCTGTGCGGATGTCTGGATTTTACCCCAGAGAGCAAGGTAGAAGCGAGGGACACGTCCGTCAATCGTGGAACCAACAGCGCTTTTCGCTTAACTGATCCAACGGATCGTTTTTCAGGCGCATTAGATGACTCAATGAGCTGCGCAACGGCAGCTGAAACCTTGGATTCCACGATCTGTTTTGAAACAGCGCCTCCGCAGCCGACTTCCCTAGTACCACTGATCCCTGGCCGGTTGAGCAGGACCACCCGGGCAATTGCATTTTACGCGTTACACGTCCTCTTTGCAATCAAAAGCCAGGGACCTCTTTCAGTACTTCGCGGAGCAATACATTGTTCCCTCCGCCATATTGGACAACCTGTCGACAAATATTTGCAGGGAGCGCAGGACACTTGTGTGCGCCGTCGATCTCACCATGCACAATTGCGTAGTCAGCTCAGCCGCTAGCTCCACCGCTTTGCGTAACTTAGTCGCCCGGTTCAATTGAGCAGAAGGAGGTTCCACGGGCTGCTCATGCGAATGCACCTCCCAACCACTTGCCGCTTCATTTGGAAGCACCGCGTTGCCCGTGGTGGCCACCGTCCAGCGGCAACTTGCTATTGCAAGGTTCAAACTCTTCTTCCTTGTATTATATACGTAGCAGGCATAAGCACGGGCTCGCCACTGCCGATTAGCTTCGCATTTGCATGCATAACTCTTTACGTTGTATCGCTTTGTCAGCCCAACTCTCAGGCAAGGCACCACTTAAGTAACACCATGTTGTGATGCATCACATATGTGCACTCACCACCAATGTCGCAGAGTACGAATGCGCGCGTGGGGCAGAAAGCAAAAAAGTAGGGGCGCAGCTGTGGACACATTCGTAGGGGAACCTACTGTGTCACACTATGCTTAGCAAGCGTCAGTATGCGTTGCTGCATGTACGCAGTAACGCGTTCCACGATCACGGTGAACTGTTTCATGAAAGATTTCACGCTGAGTTGTCTCTTCAACAACTAGTTCTCTTTCGCAACGCGGTTAGTTGTTGCACCGCTGCACATGCAAAAGCACCGCTGTCGATGAGTAACCCAAGATGACGTACACGGCAACCAGGCTCTCCGTAAGCATTGCTAACGTTCAGGCTTCAGTACTTCGAAGGCATGCAAGATCCTCCCGAAAGGCTTCATCTCTCGCGTGTACACCACGTTCCGCAGCCACTGACGTAGTCGACTTCTCACAACTGCAGTGACTCCAATTAGCTGAGGACAAGGCCGATTCATGTCCCACAGTAAGTGGAAACAGCAAAACACCACAGCCGCATCTGGATACACATACCTAAAGGCACTCACTCGTGCATAGCAGTCATCCATTACCAGCGTCTGCACAGAAACAGTGCTGGGTACCAAAGCACGCATCCATTATGTTGCCTCCCGGTAGCTAGCGGACGTCTCATTGGACAACAGGGCATAAGAAAATACAACATAACCCCGGCATGTCAACCAACATGCCGTAAAATAACACCCAGCCACCGTAATTTAACCGGCGTATTGCGTCAGACCAAATCACCTCTCCATGTCGTTCAACTATCGGCACCATGATGAAGGACGCAAAAAGGGACCCAGTTAACTGCGAGCTAATTTGAAACACTCGTAGCCCGGATTGGTTGCTCATCTGTTGATCGTTTTCCGAGCTTGATAAAGGGATCGCATGCTTTTTACCACCATGCAAGGTGACATCTTCAGTGCAGTGACTGGCAGTGTATAATCCTGCTTATTGAACCCGCAGTCGGTCAAGGTGGCAATTTCGATTTGCGCCACGTGATCTCTGCCGATTTGCTTCCGCGGCTGAATCATGTCTTCCGATTCGCCGGAGAACTTTCTTTCTGTGCTGATGGTACACGGGGTCGACGTCGATGCGCACGTTGGAACAAAACTGTGGTTTTAGCTCAAACAACAACACAGCAAAGAAGAGAATTCCTAGGAGCATGGTACTCCCTTAATAATTCGACCAACATGCGCACCGACATCCACTCCGTGTACAATCAGCTCAGAAAGATAGATCTCCGGCGAATCGAAAGACATGGTTCAGTGGCGGAAGCAAGCGGGCAGTGTTCACATGGAGCAAATCGAAATTGCCGCCTTCAAAAGTCACCTGTCAGTGGATGACGGACTGTTGATGCAATAAGCAGAATTTTACACTGCCTATCACCACACTGAAGATGCCGCCTAGCAGGGTGATAAAATGTATGCGCTTCCTTTATCAAGCCCGGAAAAACGATCAACAAGTTACCAATTAAGTGCTTTCGTGGAATGTGGCGAGCTCAGGTTGTAGCGGTTTAAAACTGTGTCGGTGGCTCTGGTTCGCTTACCGGTACAAGAAGCTGGACGCTCGTTAGGCGGAAGCCTGTATCGTCCACGGATTTTGACCTGACCTGACCTGACCTGACCTTTGCATCAGCCGCAAATTCCCCCAAAGTCATGTTACATATATATGTTTTAAAAAGTTCTCATGCATTTATTGCTATGTTTACTGGTAAACGTATGCTTATGCACTACTACTGTTATTCGCAGTGGGACATCTACAGTACATCCCCAAAATTGCTATCACCTCTCACACCCATGTCCTTATGGTTTTTATCCGGTTTTCTTTAAATGGAGGTTGCACTTAACGTTGAGAAGGCTGGCATCGGCAGTGCTGTAAATTCAATTTCTGTGGCACGGAGGTTATATGAGTCCCATCTGCTTGACGCCTCCAGAATTTGCACACAGAACAATGCATTCAACTTCTTAGGATTACTGGACTCTACATGGCACTCTCAACCCTGCATGCTCGGCATCGATGAAGCAGGTCGTGGCCCCGTTTTAGGTATGTTACCGAATCTACATTTGTTTCTTTATGTCCACTTGCAGCTTGTCATCAACATGTGCTCATCTTCAGCCGACATATTTCTTTTTTACTTTTCTCACACATATTAGTATTATGCTTATTTAGCTACGTTCTTCTACCCTTATGACTACTGCTTTTCTTCACGTAACCGACCCAGAAGGGCTGCCCTATTAGTACCATCGGTTACCCCAACGCCCGATTCCGGATACTCCTCGGGTGGTCGTAAAATGTCATTTTCTGTACATATGCATTGAAGTGTAAACACAGTTTACAGGGCCGGGAATATGGCTACAAATGGAGACAGGACGGTTTGCGCATCAACGTAGTGAATAATGTTGTCGCTACGTTTTGTGTATGCCGCTAGATGTTAGTATTGTAATAAGGTGTAGTCAGTGGTGGTGAGAGGGGAGTTAATCTGGCTAGGTTATTCCTACAGGGGGCGAAATATGGGGCAAATTGGGCGTTCGAATAGGACCCGCGCAACTTTTCTCGGCGAGTGCTCAATGAGTGACACAGTGTTTTGCCACTTGGGCACCAATCGGGCGCTCATCCGTCACCCATCAGGTGTCCCTCGGACACTCCCCGTGCGCTCGTCGGACACTGGTGACAGGGTGTTAGTAGAGGATACGTGGCAGTAACTGGTTGGTCAGAGTCTGAGGCTGTCCTTGTTTTAAATCCATCTGCATTTCAAAGCCCTTATACTGGCTCGACGACTTGGAAGTGCTAAATTACCGGATTATTTGGTCACGGCCTGTCTGTCGGGTTTCATCGTTCGAGCTCTTCTTCGACGAATACCTTGTTTGGAAACTATTCGAATAACACTGCACAAAACCTTTGACTTTTGGCAGTTCTGTGCTTCAAAAGGATTCCGAAGTCCTAATATACTCGCAATATCTTGTCACGACGCAGTCTCCGTGGTCTCCGGTCGACTTACGGCTTCCTACTCCCTGCATACGCTGAATACTCCTTCAACTGCACGAAAACGCGTGTGGACACTGTGCTGCTTGAAAAGTGCATCATCTTATCATATTGAGTTCAAATCAGTGCGTACGTTTTACTTGCGGTATTATCCGACTTTGCTCTCGCTGTCTGCATTGTAGGCCTTCGCAAGCCGGTCCTCACCTTTTCGTTGTTCTTACCTTTTCTTCATTGCTGTCAAGATGGTTAGAAAAGTTGTGGGTGTGCCTTCGGGTCTTAAAACAGCTGATTCAGTTTACCTATGCGGCTTAGAGAGATGCTCTATACCTGTAACCGACTTGTCGGGTGGTATGCAATGCGATCTTTGCGGTAGATGGTTCCATGAGGCATGCACCGGTTTGCCTGCTGATCAGTATGCTCTCCTGGCAAGCAATGAGAGGTTCCTTTATAGCTGTGAAGATTGTTTTAAGCTGAAAGCTGAGCGCTTTGTAACCACGAAGGATTGCTTCGATTCGCTCGTTTCCAGACTGACAAATATGGAACGAGTGTTTTCTTTGCTGCTGACAACTTTGGATGGGAAAGTTGAAGGTTTACTAGATCGCCTGACACCATCCGTTGTTCACGGCCAGGTGAAATTAGCGGATAGTAGCACGCAAACGGATTCAGTCGACTTAACACCCTATCCAGCAACTGATTGTGAGCTAGTTGGCGCTAAACAGTTGGAAAGAGTACTTGATTCCACAGCTAGTGACGAAATATTGCAGACCTTGCCAGCGAAACGTAAGCGGAGCAAGAAGAAGAAAGCTGTAAACTTGCAAAATGCGGTAGTCTCGGAGTGTACAGTGGATCAGGTAAGCACGTCACTTGCAGAGCCTTCAGTACTGAGTCCTTCGGCGTCTCCTCCCAAAGCCTCTTCGTACGCAGCTAGTGCATCCAAGCAACCAGCCACCCAGTCGCAAGATTCTATGACTGTGGCGCGTGGAGTAGGCACCCCCCGCCGCAGTGACTCTTACACTGATAGCAGTGTCATCTTTAGGAATGTCACGGAGTCCACCGCAGCTCTTCCAAAGGAGCGAATGCTTGCTGACCTACAATGGTTTAAGATTTGCATTTCTAAACTGCTGCCGCCCGGGTTTCCTGGCGTAACTGTACGGAAACTCATTAGGCTTGGGTCTGTGCCGGTCGATGCTTCGGGCGTCAAACCCCGTTTACTGAGAGTCGTTCTTTCAACACCGGACGAGCGTAATACGCTTCTGCGTTTCGCTTTTAAACTCAAGGGTTCTGGGGTCAGTATTCAACCTGACCTCCCATTGACTGATAGGTTGAAATTGAAGGCCGCCATAAAGGACCTCAAAGCCCGTCGCGAGGCGGGTGAAACTGGTCTTCGATTGGTGGGTTTTCGGGTGGTGAGCCGGAGGTCTACTTCCGCCCTTTCAGAGCCCGTTCTGGTGGCACCCGATCCCCGGCTCACGATCCCAATTTGCTTAACGTAGTCCTCAGCAACGTGCGTAGTCTGAGGAACAAGATGTGCGAGATTGGCACTCTTGTAGAAAGTTCCCGGCCAGACGTACTTGCTTTCACTGAGACGTGGCTGTTCTCCGATATCCTGGACAGTGAAATGTGTTTGCCTGGCTATACCCTTCTGCGAGCTGATCGCGCCTCATGCTGTCGCGGAGGTGGAGTTGCTTTGTACGTCAAATCCACCTTGACTATTTCGCGAACATATTCTTTCAATTCCCCTGATGTAACTGCCGAGGCGCTTGCGGTAGAGGTTTGCGCTTCTTTCACGCAATTCAAAATTGTGTTAGTATACAGAAGCCCCGAAAGTACGTCAAGCAGGCTCATTGATTTCATTCGTACTCATACGACAAATAGATGTCTGGTTATGGGTGATTTTAATGTTCCTGAGGTTGATTGGCGCAATTTCTGCACTGCAGCGTCTGGACGTTTTTCTAATGATCTCCTTGACCTATCCTTACAAGCATCCCTTCATCAGTTTGTACAAAGCCCAACTAGGTTCATGGAGGGCCAAAAGCCTTCCATTTTAGACCTCATCTTTGCGAAATCGCTGGACTTTGTACGAGATGTAGTGTATGATTCCCCCTTGGGCTCTAGTGATCACGTCTGCCTCTTATTCAAATGCGCCTTAAGTCGGGGACGTGAAGAGTGTATGGTCAGAAGGCCAAATATCTGGCGCGCTGATTTTCAAGCCATCAGGGAAAAGGCTGCAAATCAACCCTGTATCGTGTCAGAGGATGACACCGTCCAGGTTGCTTGGGACAAGTTCAAATCCTTTCTTTGCGAGATTTCCCTCCCCCACATTCCAATCTCAGCGAGGAATAAAGTGGGGGCAAAGCCCCCTTGGTTTGACTCTGAGGCGCGCAGGATGCTCAGTAGGCGATCCAGGTGTTGGAGGACTTATATATCAGCTCCCTCAGAAAGTACCCATCGTCGCTACCGAGGCGTGCGAAATGCATGTAAACAACATCTGCGGGCCGCACGCTTAAGATATGAACTAGCGCTAGCTCGATCCGCATCAACAAACCCGAAACGGTTCTTTGGCTATGTCAAACGGAGATGCAATGCAAATTCGCCTATCCCTGTGCTCTTTGGACCTGACGGCACTGAAGTATCAACCGATCAGGCCAAGGCCTGCTTACTTGCAGAACAGTATGCTAGGTCGTTTGTTCATGAATCCCCATTGCCTAATATCCAATTGCAAGCAAAGATACCAGTAGACTCCTTTCTGATGGACCTTTCCATCTCGGAAGCTCAGGTACTCAAGCTCCTGCGTGACCTAAATCCCACAAAAGCTGCCGGGATAGATGCCCTCCATCCCAAACTTTTGTACGAGCTGGCGGGGTTGCTGTGTAAACCGATTAAGTGTATCTTTGAGAAGTCTCTTCGGAGCTGCTCCCTACCTGCTGACTGGAGAGATGCTATCGTGTGCCCTATTTTCAAAAAGGGTGATAAGCACTTACCTGAAAATTATAGACCGGTTAGCCTAACAAGCGTACTAGTGAAAGTATTAGAGAAGCTTGTAAGAGATGCTCTGGAAAAGCACTTAGCTAAGTTCAGTTTGCTCAGCCCGTCTCAACATGGGTTCCGCAGAGGCCACTCCTGTTTGACTAACATGTTGGTAGCCCGAGAGTGCTGGGCTGAGGCTGTGGATCAAGGACAGGCAGTGGATGTGTTGTTCATCGACTTTTCTAAAGCCTTTGACACCGTACCGCATTGCCGTCTTTTGTTTAAACTAGAATCCTACGGCGTTTCAGGCCAAGTATTGAAGTGGATTTCGGCTTTCCTGGAAGGAAGGCAGATGAGCGTCCGAGTGGGTTCCGGGCTGTCTTTCAGACAAGCCGTTCTGAGTGGTGTTCCTCAGGGGTCGGTTCTCGGACCTCTACTGTTTGCATTGTATGTCAATGACCTCCCTGAGAAGCTTAAAGTACCATCCCTTATGTTTGCGGATGACTTAAAATTTTGGAATACAGTGAGCGATTCTGTTGGGCCCACGGCTTTACAGACAGCTCTCGACAAGCTTTGGGAGTGGTCAGAATTGTGGCAGCTGCCAGTCAATCTTGCAAAGTGTTCGGTCCTGCGCATAGGATCAAGCACTTCCACAACTTCTTACGTACTTGGCGGAAATGTATTGCGTCAAGTGACTGAACAAACCGACTTGGGTATCTCGTTATCCTCTGACTTCAAATCCAGCGAGAACTGGACAAATGCTACCCGCAAGGGTTTCCGAATGCTGTGGATGATCCGCAGGTCATTCGGCATTATAACAAATGAAATGTTCGTTATATTGTTCTCAGCCTTCGTCAGGCCATACTTGGAGTACTGTGTGCAGGCCTGTCCTCCATGCTTGGTACGCGATAGGATGACACTTGAACGAGTTCTGAGGGTTGGTACAAAAATGGTACAAGGATTGAGGCATCTCTCGTATCCCGATAGGCTGCTCAGGTTGCAGATGTTTTCGCTGCACTATAGGCGCCTTCGGGGAGACCTGATTCTTACGTACCGTATATTGACCAACAAGATTGGGCCTGATCTAACTGGAC